CCACTGAAGACATTAAAACGCTGCCAAAGAGTGTTACAGAAGGCAGTGGACAAGTGAACCATGAGTTGCGCAGTTCTCAACGAGATTCGGTTCAAGCTTTTGGGGGGGAAGGTACGCAGTTAGGGTGGTAAAGGTGGAAAGGTCAAACAGAGGGTCTTATCTGTGAAAATCGGTGAGGTCGCGGTTGCAGGAGACGTTGAGTACTTTTCGACGTGTTTTTGATGATTTTGCGTTTTTACCGGAAATTTTGGGAATAAGTATGAAATGGTCAGAATTAGAACATATCTCTCCAGCCATATTTTCGACTCACCAGCGAAGTCGAAAAGCTCATCATGAAAACCGCTCCGGCAAACGACAACGTTTTCAAAAAGGGCTTGAATCACTGGACCTGGCACTTTTACGAAACAAATACCATTACACTCCTGCAGAAGAAAAACCTATTGGAACGGCGATACAATTCGTCTATAAATTCTGAGACAATACGAAATGAAGTTTAATCTGTGTCGAAGATTTTCTCAAGTACCAAACAATCTAAGAAAAGAAAACTAACCATACAACGTGAGAACACGTCCAAGTTTGACAGTGATACTTTGTACCTAGTAAAAACATATTTCAGTTGCTCAATAGGATTCAGGGAGCAAACATTTGGAATGCACAGCACTCGAGAGGGGAACAATTGCTTCAACTGTAAAGATATGGAATTAGGGAATAACAAAATGGTCCTGTTGGACGCACCTCGTCAAAAGCTTTCCCGCTGGTCAAAATGATCCTTTCGCTGCCGCTAGCCCTGCATTTCAGTTCATGCCTATTCTCGGGAATTAGCACATTTACACCGCATCGTCTGTAAAGATAAGAATGTCGAAGGCAACAAATCTCTGAAAAGTCTGAGACAAGCTTACCTCATGTGTTTACCAAGCCCAAACAGCATAGAATCTACGATACACTGCAATTCGGTTGCTTGTCGCGTGCCCGTCAACACATCTTCTAGTTTCTGCAGAAAGACAAACCTTCAAAGACCTACCATCTAGAATGAATTAAGAGGCTGACCACTTCAAGAATGATCAATTGTACATCGTTACCTCGCAAATTTCTGACCAAGACATGTCATCAATCTTCATTCGCTCTTTCTTTGACTTTGTTCTTTCCTTCTTTTTTGCAGTCACGCTGGACCTTTGCACTACTGCATGAAAATCGATGCCACGGGCTCTGAAATATAGTTTGAGAACAGATAAGGTCGTTGTCTATTCTAGCATACATTATATGAGCATTTTGTGACACATTTGCCAACCAGGTTTCTCAAAGGTCCTGCTTAAGCCTTATTTTCAGGGCGGTCAAGCACATTATGTTGATGAAGCCACATTGCTAAATGTTTATACAAGAAAAATGAATCAATCTTGATTTCTGACTGCGATCAACGCACGAACGTTGACATGTTTGGATGCTTCTATGCCTACCCATCCTCAATATTCTATACATTTCTCCGCAATAGCATAAGAGAACGTCTCACTGCACGGAACGGGTCGTTCGCAGCTCCTTGGTGAATTACGCACCCACTCAACACAGGTCACCTGGCCCCATTGTGCGCCTCAACGTGACCGTGTCTCCCTTCTCATCCCGACAAATGTGGCTAGATAGGACACCCATCCCTCGCCAAAGTCCCATATTGTGATGATACTACCGCACAAGCCACAAGAAAGTAGGACAAACTTTTGGCTACCAAAATATCCAGTTAATGCAGCTGTTTGATTATAACGCTATGCGACAGAGATAAAAGCAAAATAAGTCTCACTGCTCGAAAAGACCGGTTGATAAATAAAATGTTCTTGTTGCGAAAACAGTCTCGAAGTATAACATCAAAATTTGAATTAAGAATAAAATTTACAAGAATCCCATTTCACCGCCATGAACAACATTTGTGGTATTGTTAATAGAGAGATAGGATTTGACTCACTCGGCCGATGCCTTCAGTTTTGAAAACAGTTCCACAACTATGTAAGCATCCATCGCCGCGTAGCGTTTCTGATTCGCCCGCAAAGGGCGAATTGCCCAATTGCTGCACTGAAAGTTTCAACATCCACGAGATAGCAAATCATTAGCAGTACCAGCAATTTTTGCGAACAGTAGCCTTCTGTGGAGCATGCTGTATAAGATCACACAAACACAGGCAAGTTCCACTCGAGCTTTGACACTATAGAATACGCACGGAAGCCCAAAATGAACATTTTCTAAATTCCCTTTGCAAAAATCTCTCCACCATCCAAATGGAAATCGTGTTCTGTTTCGAATACTGAGAACTATGAATATAATAATTACAGTGAAAAAGTCAATCATGCACCTGTTCAGACTTGTCTAGCTTTACGCCCAGTAATTTTTCACTCAAATCACTAAGCTTGAAGTGCACCATCTGCACGTTGTCGAGATCACCGCCTAGATCACCTTCGTTGATACAGCAAACCAAATCTATAATAGGAGAACAACTTGGGGCAACTTATAGAGCAGTATTGACGCTGACTGACGACGTTTTTGGAAGCTTACAGGGAGCTTACGAGAAAGAAATAGAGTACCGAAAACGATCACTCACTTTCCATATCGAAAAACTGGGGATCCTCCTCTAGTAACTGAAAAAAAGCTTTCAGAAGTGATTGGAATAAAGGCAGTTGATAACTGCGACGAAGATTTCGCGATTTAAGACTGACTCGCTATTGAAACGAAAAATCAGACTTTTGGATCGATGTCAGACTTCACTGGGCGCGACGCAACTGCAGACGATTCGCTCGATTCGTAAAGTCTGACATCGATCTTAAAGGACTTCGAACGTGACCCTTGCACCTAATGGACAAGAAATAGCAAATTCAAATTGAAAAAAAACTGACTTACATTTTCAACAAGTAGTTTGACGCAAACCACATTATGGAGTTCATCGCTTAAGGAACGCAGATGAGACATTGAGGACCCAGCAAAAAGTGCTCGCATGTCGTTGGTGAGATCAAACCCTGTAATATTTAGCCTGCGTTCCGATATTTGGTAATATGCAGCTGGCATAAAAACAGTGATATGCTGCATTTCAGCCTTACTGCTACCACATGAGAGGAGCTTGAAAATGCAAGTAGGACATGGGTAGATCAAAACATTACGCAAAAATACCTATTTTCATAGACGAACTACATAGAAGAGTTCGTAAGAACAACTCCAACTGGTTCTCTTTCGTGTCGTTCTCCGTTTTTAATGAGCAAAAATCCACTAAGTAAACCGCATCTTTAGTTGCTATCTGCAGTAAAGCGATGCTGAAATATGCGAGGAAAGTTTCGGTCGAGCACATTGAAACAAATTGTAACCCAGAAGAATCACTTCTCACTAGGCGACATATACTGGGGTTTCCATTCTGAATCGATACCAATATGAGTTTCATCTTTGAGTTTATTCGTTAAAGTGCTGAGCTGTTTCCACGTGGTGACCATGATTATAGGGTATCCAGGCATGAGTTCCGTGTCATCGTCTCCGACTTCGAGAGCTCTTGCTTCAAGCCTGCACAAGGCATTAGATGATCTATCAAACACTTCAATTTGATAATAAAGGTGAAGCACAACGCACCTTCTTATATTTAACTCAGCTTCATACAGGACACCAGGCGTATTATTTATGTACTCTTGCAAACGTCGAGGTAAGCGAGCGTCGGGAATATTACAATACACCACCCAGCGAACAGCGTCCTTACTGAAATGTAAATGCGTGGGCGTATAAAACTCAGCAGACAGAATTGCAATACAAAATGTTGATGTAAGAACCGAATGGGAAGAGCTGACACACAAGTTTCGCTGAGCGGTGAGAAAGTTTATGAAGTACATCTTCAGCCGTTCGTCACCTTCTTTCAATGTTTCCTAAAACGAATAAATTTAGACGCTTCTCAACGTTAGTCGCCCTGCTTGGAGAAGACTGAAAATGTCCACCATTTATGGTAAAAAGCTGGAAACTAACACTTATGTGACCGAAATAAGCATCATCATTGAGATCATTGTTCACGAATCTGCAACCATAACCCAGTAAGGGTAAAACATCTAACCCTTCATCTTAAGGAAGGTAGCCAACCTCGACTGAGCCTTAAATCGGAGGTCCCCCTCCTTCCGAGCACGAAAAAGATTCGGAGCGACGGACTCCACTGATAGAGCAAGTTCATTAGCAAGCTTGTATATCATTTTCTCTATCGTTTTCCCTTAATTGGATACAGTTGATAAACTAACAGATTGTTTTTAATGGAAAACAACAGAAATCTAGAAATCTATAGTCCCACCTGTGAATCGCTCGTACTGCATAGTCATTATTTGGCTATCCTTATATTCCTTTAGGCGGTCGATAACATCGCTTTCTGATAGGCCCACAAAACTGTCCAAATACGATACGAAACTCTCCTTCAAAACTTTTCGCTTACAAGTTTTGTTTATTTCGAAATTAAACAAGCAACAGAAGGATTTGAGCACCTGCATCTTCCTATCCTTTTCAATATATCTGACGACTGCGCCCAACTTGTCCTGTAGCAGGCAAGGAATAACGAACGCGTGTAATCCATATTCACTATGAAGTCCGAACTCTTCTACAACGTCCATCGCTTCTTTAAACAATGTGCCGATCAATCATTGACTGAAAGTTGAGCCTTGAGCAATGATGAAAAAGGCAAGGAATCGTACAGCATTCCAAGAAATTGGGCTAGGAGGAGAATCGATCATCAAATAGGCGCCATGCATATTCGCCGTTTTCCATTGGGCATGCAAATGTATCAAACACTGTCATCCATTACTGTATTGCCAATTTTTTTTTTTGAAATTTTGACGCTTGTCCGTGGAGGGATTTTCCCATTTGTTAAGAGATTCCGTACACATTCATGTGAGTGAGTCCTCTGGACGTCATACGCGATCGCCTAACCGCTAACCGATACGTAGCACTCGCCGTCTGATAGCCTGCTCTCGCCTGAGTCGAACAATTAACAATTCATTCTCAATTAGTCCTAGATAACTGCTGCGCAACTTGAAAATATTACCAATTGGAATGTAAACGAAATACAACGTCATGAGCGCTGCGTTTTCTTTTTCAGAGGGTAACGTCAAGGACCGCGTCAACGCGTCAACGACCCTCCATTCTATCCTTCTTTACTCTCAGTATTTCGCTAGCCTTCGACAAAGTAAAAAAAAGCGACCCCCAGAAAATAGAGTACTGCACCGGGTCGCAGGGGTGGTGGTGACTAGGATGCATTCGTGAGTTGAGAAAGAGGACACAGAACCGAGGCATCGGGTGTGGTTCACTAGGATAGAAAGCGGCTTTTCGCACATTTCCGCTCGGCGCAATTCAGGTCGCACCGCTGATGCATAGTGGATCCGAAGTTCCGCAACAACAATTTCGGACGCGGCTGCGCGAACGCGAAAGTCGCTTTCTATCCTAGACAACCAATTTGAGGCATCGCCCTCAGCAAACGATAGGATGCGGATGTACGGGAGACGTGAAATGAGTAACAAAAATAATCTTACATCAATTTCTTCCTTTATAAAGCTCAACAATTTAGTGTCATTGAGACAGAAAATCTCCCTGAACAACTTCAGATAACCTGTATGCTTCGCAGTTGCAATGCGAAAGGCTTCCACCTGAAGCAAAAAAAATATCACGATTGCAAAAAACCGATCCTGCTTGCTTGAATGTATTATAATTTTTAATTAAACATCTGGGGAGACAGTACTGAAGCCTGCCTATGACGCAGGCGGTCAAACAGATTCGACATCTATCGTCTCGTTCAGTAACCATTTATGAAAGGTCATTACAATGATACCCAAAAGAAAGAAGTTTGATGGCGGTAAAAATGATCGACAGACAAACAGCTTACCAGCCAAGGACTTAGGTTTATTGGATGCATAGTCGGGGGAGATTTTATGAAGCTGAAGAACAGAATCGTACGGGTTTTCGTCAATCTCGAAAATCGAGAACAGAATGGAAGTGAGCAGCTCCTCTCTCAGCAGTTCATTCTTTTCGTTCAAGAACACATCCTGAAAAAGATTAGCGCTACAAGAATACTATTCCTGGTGCACTCCAATGCTCATTCTCCCGAGTTATAACGATGCGCTATACGGTCAGCTATAAGAAATATTACAGAGATGCAGGTGTAGAAACGATTAAAAAGAACATTAAACAACCTTCAGAACTTTTCGCCTAGTTTCGAGTGGTTCCGCATGTGCAGGACGGTACAGAGCCTTCTTTTCGGCTTTCGTTAATTTTCTAGGTGCCTCGTCTGCTGTAACAGTGGACGAGATCGTTTCAGACGATGGCGTGTCTTCCATGATTGAGTATTCCTGCACAAGTGATGGTGAGTTTGAAATCTCCTTTCTTATGCTATACGAAGTTCATACACAAACCAATTGAATCGAAACCTTAATTGAGACAGATAAGGTGCTGCAACACAAAAGAATGCCGAAAACTTCAAGCAAAATTACTGTTAAGCAATTTGAGAGCCTTTGAACATAAGCCGTAATTTGAACGGTGTGGCGTGCAGCCATCCTTAATCTAATTAACCTGACGCGCAAATTGCACACAGTAAGTAATTCGAGAGAGGGGTGGCAAATTCACAGTTTTCGTTTTAAGGCGCCGGTATTCGGGGATGGGACAGCTACGGAAGCATTCCGCTGCTAAGTGATTGTGGGCCAACGCGCACACTGCTTCGACGGGCCGCTTTTTCGGGCGAGATAGTGTAAACTCGAACATTCCAGCTTTTCACGCATGCCGAGTGACTGCCCTCACCACCACCCCCTAGTCTACCTACACTCCCCTAGCTCACGGATTTCCTGAAGTACGCAAACATGCCAGGCGAGCAAACTGCCGCGTGCCGCGTGGTCCCCCCACCCACTTATGTAGCACCAAAAATTCTTCTCGTCTGCAGCAAACTATTTTGTTTTGCAGGGAAGAAGACCCCGTATGTGTAAAGCGTTGTGTGTAAAGGGAATGGGACTAAGCATTTATTGGAAAGGAATTATTTGTCGTGGTTCTGAAATCCTGGGTACTCTGCGCCACAATTTCCCCTCCCCTCTCCTTCCCGTACTGCTGTGAGATTTAGATTCTGTCGATTGAGCTTTGTTCTATTTTGAGATGACTGCTTCATCTATGTCATGTTAGCGTTATACAGGGAACATTCTTCAAGGTTGAATAAGAACGGACCAGCGGCTCAAAAAACTGCTAAATCGCGCCTCCGAATAGCCATGTGTACTCTGTTTCCAGCACGGAAAACATGACGTAATTGCGGACTTGAAAGCGCGCGCGGCAGCGATCTGGAAATTGGTGTTATCTGTGCTTTCTGATGATCTTGATGTGACCTAATGGAACAGAGTACATGTACACACTGGCTCACAATTGCAGATTTAGTGTCATAGTTAGAAATAACAGGATCACGAGCATCGAAAAGGTATCCTGTATTGTTCGAAATCGTCATCACTTGTTGAAGTGAGGTACGATTTATTGCCGGAGCAAACCGTGGTAACTCGCTCATCATCAAACATTGCAGCTGGTGTACCTTTGGATATGAAACTCGCATCTGAGCGAGGAAATTTGCGAATTGATACATGAATTTGAGTTGGGTTCAAAACCAAATACTGCTAAGACTATTCTGCGAATTACTTAGTCAGAGGTCGAAGAAGGGGAAATATACCAAGTGAAAAGACGGGCAGTCCTCTCTAAGAGTGCGCGGGGCGCGTGCACGTATCGCGACGTAAAGAGGGTCTACGGACAACTTGAACTCAGCCCTTTAAACCGCCTCGATTTGACGCTCTCGCCTGCGCTCTCTCGCTTAACCAGCGCTTTATGATTACTGTGATCTTATGTATTCAAACTTTGCCACAATATAATTGGCTCATCCACTACGGAGTCCCTCCTCCCTTCAAGGCTTAGTCCTAGAGCTCTCACCTTCTTGGTTGGGATTTGAAGCCGAGCCAGGCACCGTTCTCTAATCGTCTGTGCTCTGGCCTTTCTCGGCAGAGAACATAGGGGAGAGTTCAAGTAGTCACGTAATCGACTCGAAAGTATGCTCCGCACCCAAGCTATCATACCTGTAATCCGCTCCACCCTCGCGGCCGCTGCCGCCCAGCGATGAACCCCTTTTGGCCCCCCTAGCGTGTTTGCGGAGAGAGCGCTTACTGTGATAGCAAGGCAGCCTGCCGATAGTTCTAATTACCAAATGCAGAAATCATAAGTGCAAAGAAAGGGTCCCACTCTTGGCTCCTGTTTTTTGGGCTAAAAATCATAACAATTATACGGCAATACAGAACATATCGAAATGACGGATGCAGACATTTGTCCTTTCCACTGAAATCTCTCAGAACATAATTCAGCGAATTGGCAAGCCCCAAATCACCATAAGCCGACTTGCCTATCATATTCCAGTATTACATCCATGTTGTGCCTTTTCAGAAGATGTCCCTTTACAAGTGCTCCTTTTTGCCGCATATGATAGTCTGTGCCGCCAGACAGTCTGCTCAAATCCTTTACCTGCTTGCGGGAGGTCCTGTTGTAAAGAGGCCGACGGCTGCTGCCCAACAGCACCCCTTTGACGCTTCCTTTTGTTGTGAGTCTATCGCTGTCCCCCTGGATAGCCACGGAAACTTTCGCTGATCATTAGCCGCGCTTATGCTGCGTTTGCGATTGGGAGAAGTGCCCAAGCCGGACAAACGCTCGAGATCGTTCCCGTCTACAGGCGCTTATCTATTGCGCTGCATCGCGCTCGGCCAGATCCTCCCAGCCGTTGTCGCTTTTCTCTCTCACTCCGCCATTTCATCGTCGTCTTCCAGAGTGGTTTTATTTCATGCACTGATCGTTTCCAGCTTCTTCCTCTATATTCGAACCCGTTGAGACGTTTCTGATATGCTCGTCGAATTTAACATTTCTTTTTTGTTGCTCATTTTGGCTAGCTGCTTCTGACGCACTCGATATCGAATTTTACTACTGTGATTTCGGCCAGGACATTTTGATAGGTCAATCTCGATATAGAGCGAAGCCTGCATAAGTATTCGCATTCATTTGTACCGAAGTAAAGGACCTTCGAGTTGGGGAGAAAGGGGTGGAAACAGGTGCCACAGAGAAGCTTGTCATATGTCAGAACTTCTGCTTCTGTTCTACTTAACTTACGTGACCGTATCACCCGTAGCACCCCCGAGCGCTTGGGAAAAAAAACCTCCTAGTCCTTTATTGCGTTACTTCGTAGTGGAAACAGCATTTTCGTCGAAACAAGTCTAACAACCCTTCAAGTCTGCTCAGTCATTTTAATGCTAATTAAAATAAGGGTAGTGGAATACATGCTCATCCTGGAGGAAACGATCACGAATGTAACCCTGCACAGCTTGTTTTTGTTGTTAAGCAACTGGTGAGCAAGATGTATGGGTTCGAGTCCCGTCTGGGGCGAAAGTTTTGTTCAGAACCCAGCATTCTTGTGAAGTACTGAACAGCGTTTTTCACTTTACAGAAAGAAATATAAGTCAAGCTTTCTAGGAATTTCGTAACGTTCTGACTCGCGACAACCATCGTGCCGAGATCGTCGCCGAAGATCTAAACTCGCTCTTCCTGCATAGCGATCCTTTCCGCCGATTACTTGTGATCAACCTGTTCTTCCACCTATTCGAATCTTTTTCCACCAATGGGGTTTTCTATGGTCCCTTTAGCACAAATTTCCAAAACAGCACCCACTGTTGTTAAGCCTCGCACATCGCATCTGTCCCAGTTCATTGACACGTTTGGATGGCTACTTGGCACATGTCGTCCCTGCCAAAGGCCCACCGAATTTGACAGCAATCCAAAATAGAGAGCGCCATTTAAGCTGCTCTGAAGAGCAAAAGACCAAATGACTGAGCGAGATCGATTTCCTCTTCTGGTAGAGGAAGTGATAATTGGCGCCTCTAACCACTGCGCCACTCATTCCGTCCCTTGCAAAGCTACGAAATTGGAAAGGCTGATTCCTAGGCCCTCTATTAATCTGTTTTTGCCTGAAAATTGTGGTGTCTTTGACAGGAGCGTCCAGTCGGACAAGAAATTCGGTCACTTCGCTCCTCTTAAGACTTTTATTGGGGTAATTTGTCACCTAGGCCACTCACCACAATGAAGTGCAACGACCGGAAGCTTTTTTTGAGAATACTAGAGTCTTCTCCACTTTAATTTGTCCAGCTTTGTGTAAAGACTGGGATCGACAAGAACTAAAAAGCATAATAGGCATAATAACCAGATGACAGGGCATTCTCGTAGCGCCAAGTTTCCTTCAGCCATTTTCATTTTGAGATATTGATGGAAATGCGGGTGCTCTACAAAACAAGTCTGTGAATTCTCATGAACCACTTGATTTCACTTTGGCTCTTTGGTTGATTTTCCAGCTCTGCAGATGACAGCAGAACCTTCTCCCGCCATACTGCTCGAAGTTTGGGCATTCTTGGAATAACAGCTAAGCATCTCAGCCTCAGATTCATACAGTACGTAAGGTTACTAGGTCCACAGTAAGCCTTTCTGAAGAAAACAATTTTATTTCTTTTGCATGATCCTTGACACCTTCTAAATTAGTATAACGTTAGCCCTGAAGAGAGCGTCACAGGGAAGAATGTCGGTTTGGGTTGCACAACAATTTATTGGAGAAAAAGGGCTCACAGCCAAATGGCTAATCAAGCTCTTCATGCTGCCGTGACTGGTTATTTGGTATCAGACTCGTCTGGAAGGATAAAAGCACTGAATTGTTCATCAGGTGGCCCAGCGCATAGTCATTGTATAGGACCGAATCGCATTTAAAATGCCTACCACGATTCTGAATGGAAGTAGAATCGTGGCGCATCTTAATGAGGCTTAGATTAACTCATCTGTGATTTGTCACTTTCGCCCTGAGCGCTTCAAAACGCGTGTGAAGTCTTTGAATGTTGCAGCTGAAGTCCTAGTTCTTTCGTTAAGATTCTTGTTGAGAAAGACCTTTTCACCTCAATGTTAACATAACATTAGTTTTCTCTTGAGGGGTGTATTTTGAGCACAAATGAATAGATAGTGTATGAATAGTCAGGAAAGACCAAGCAACCTTTCTGAAGCTATGGGTGAAGAGAATGCTGACTATGAGTTGTGGCCAGAAAGGCCTGCCTTAGTTGTCGTTCGCTTTGAGATTTAAGGACAGGAGGGCCCAAAAGTTACACATGATCCTCTGTGACCTTTATTATAAGATATTTCTTTGAATAAAAGGAGAACTCCTTGTTTGTTTGCGGTGCTTCTAGCAACGTTCAGTGAGATTCCTTCCAAAAAATCTAATGGAGGACGGCCTCATTCAGGGAGGGGCTTT